AAAAGTACTCCAGAGTGTTGTTCAGCATGGGGGTGAGTAGAAAATGAAGGCTAATCATGTTTTGGGTGTACTATTCCTTTAATATCCACAAATCATAACAGGAACAATATTTTGGTGCAAAGATTGATGTTTAAAAAGGAATTGTAGGAGACCGGCCAAGGAAAGTGGGTAAATGTGGAATGGCTGCTAGTGTAAAACGTGGACAGTGATGTGTAAATATGTTCCTGCCTTCGATTGTCCTTTCTGGGTTGATGTTGCTTGTTTCTGTGGTTTTTATTTGAAATGATGTGATTATTCCCTGGTTTTTATGTTTTATTTCACCTCCTGTGAACCAAATGTCCCTCTGGGGACAATAAAGGTAAAGTTGAAGTAAAATCCAAGAGTAAAGCTGTAAAGCTTCACCAATCGTGAGCTAAAAATTAATAGGGATGAATTAAAATAAATATATATACCGAGCCTATCTCCAGCTGTCTACAGCGGAGAGGCGGGGTTGACCCTGGATAGGACACCAGTCCATCGCAGGGCAAAGCTGAGACAAACAACACAAACAACCATTCACGTGCACACTTGTGTCTGTTGCCCAGTGATGGACTGGCGCCTCGCCGATATATATATTTATATAGACTTAAAATAAGCTCAGTTCGATAACTGGAAAGTGAAGTTACATAAAATTTTCCTAACACATCCCTACTATGTGACAGATGCCATATTGAAGAAGCCACACTCCTACGTTCCTATTTTTTGTGTACAAAATTAACTCCATTTTGGTCTGGCATATTCAACTTTTTATCAGATATGTTTAAAACAGAATTGAGACTGGACCCACTTTTCTTTATACTCTGAGTTTCTGTTCAGCTTTCTCAATTTAATAAATATCAACGACAATTCTTATCTAATGCCTTTATCATAGGAAAAAAGCGAGTGTTGATGTTCTGGAAAAAATCAGAGGTCCTATCATTGGTAACACTCTCTCATCTGGAAAGAATACAGTTTCCTTTAGCAAATAATTCAAAGCGATTCAATAGAACTTGGCAACTCCTTCGGCAATATATTGATAATTCTATTTGAAGAGAACTCGATCTGATTCTCAGTGTGATAAAATGTAAGTCGTAGGGGAAATGGGTGGGGGGTCCTGAAAGGGGTTCTGTTTATTTATGCCACTGCTGTTTGGTTTTGACTTTGTGTTATATTTATGTTTCATGTTCACATCAAAAAAGAGGACAAATTTGTATTGTTCATGTCTGAATTTTCAGGTATGTTTCCTCAATAAAACAGCTTGAAACATAAAATGAGCTCAATCCGGAGCTGGTATATATATATATATATATATATATATATATATATATATATATA